GCTGGTGCTTTCGTGAACATTCTCTGGTCTTGCCACTTCAAAGCCCTTCCTTTTTTTCCTGAAATTTGAAGGCTGCATTTCTTATTCTGGAGGTGGGCTGAACGCCTGGTATAATGGGCTCTGTCAAATGGGAGAGAGAACCCTGTTGTTTTCTAATGTTCTGTGAACTTTGGAAAGCAAAGGGAAGAGTGATTGAAAGAGTCTCTTGAGAGTAACGTATTCTGATAGCGTGCCTGTCTTCACCTTGTGGTGAAGGTTTCCTACAGCAAGCATGATTTTGCTGAGCTATGAGGTTGCCTTGGCTTGGCAAATGTAACAAGCATTGTCTTCGAAGGTAGGGAAGCTGAAGCAAAACTAGTGGAAAAGCTAGTTTCTTCCTAGAATGCTGCCTGATAAAATAGTAGCAGGTAAAGGCACTTGCAGCTGGCTTTTCTATGCAGTCTTTGTGCAGACCTTTTGCCAGGGATTGATTTCCGTGAAGCAAGGAGGAGTCAGGGAAAAAGAAGTGCAGCTTGTCTGAACGGTTGCCTCACTGCTTGCAGGGTTCGAGTCTTCATACTAGAACAGGTCTTTACTATAGTTCATAAACACGGAAGATGAGCTGTCTATAAGGAAAGCTTCATTAGAAGTAAGGCTAAATTTGCTAGATTTGGTCCTCTGTTGCAACTGAGAGATGATTTGGCAGTATTTACATCCCAGCTGTGTGCCAGTGTGTTAACGCAGGCCATCAAGGTCTTTTCAGGGGTACTGCTGGACTGCAGGTGATGTGCCTGGGTGGTACCGAGACCCTGGATGAACCAGCTCTGCCAGCTCTTAAAGCTCAGAGGATGTGACAGAATAGAAACCATCTTTGTAGTGGACCTCAAACATCAAAGGTGCAGATATGCTGCTGATGTCCCACCAGCCTGGAGATGTGGGAACTTCTGCTGAGAGCCCAGTAAGGATCTTGTTTTGTGCTCCAGTAGAGGCTTTTTGTGCATGCAGTCCCAGGAGGTGTATTAGCCATGGTTGCTTCTTTGAGATCTCAGAAAAGATTCTGCATGATGCAGAGACTGTGGTGGCATTGCTGGTTTAAGGAGTTTGGTGTTATCTTTTGCCCCTTGCCTTTCTGTGCCACAGTACAATGTGCCCTTTCATGCCAGTGCAACTATCTGGAGCAGCACAGTGAGCTGTCAATGTCTTAATCAGGGAGTTAGCACACACCCCCTGCCCTGTGTATGCTTTTCCATGGCTGAGGGTGTAAGTGGAAGAGGTTTGTAATTGTGCAGCTTTCTAAAACCTGGATCAGGGTAGTGGGCTGCCGTAGAGCATTTGCAACATGAACTAAAAATAGGTGGCCAGGTGCACAACTGTCCTGGGTTCAGCTACAGCAGTCATTTTTTCTCCTTCTTAGCAGCTGGTGCAGTACTGTGCTTTTGGCTCTCAGCCTGGGAACAACGCTGATAACACCAGTGTTCACTCTGACCAAGGACTTTCTCAGTCTGTGCTCTGCTAGGGAGATAGGGAAGCCGGGAGGAAGCAGAGGCAGGACACCTGACCCAAACTGGCCAAAGGGGTATTCCATACCACAGCACGTCATGCCCAGTATAGAAACTGGGGAGAGTCACCTGGAAGGCCCAGATCACTGCTCGGGTCGGGCTGGGGATTAGTCGGTGGGTGGTGAGCGGTTGTGTCCTCTCCCCTTGTTATTTCTCTTATCATTATTATTGGTAGCAGTAGGGGTTTGTATTATACCTTAGTTACTGGAGTGCTGTTATCTCAACCCGTGGCAGTTACATTCCTCTGATTCTCCTCCCCATCTCTCTGGGAGCGGGGGAAGGAAAAAAGGGGGTGGAGTGAGTGAGCGGCTGCGTGGTTCCAAGTTGCCCACTGGGCTTAAACCACCACAAGAAGTCAGAAGTTCTTGGGCTTGTTGCTGAACCCTCTGTCTCCTTAAATCATGCATCTAAGGATGTAGTTTATTTTTTTGGGAGAGGAGCCGGAGTGTTCCCTTGTGCACATGGATGCTTTTGTTAACTATTTTTTTCTGCCTTAGGCCTCATTGTACAGCCAAATGTTTTGCTGCATGTAGCCTGCTGACCAGCACTGGCAGCTCTAGAATCCCTTGATGTCTGTTAGCAGCACTGGTGAGCAGCTGGGCATTTCTGTGTGTCCTGCAGCCTGCTGACCCCCACCTCTGGCAGCTGGCTGCCCTGGACTTCCCCCCACTGTCTCCAGTGCACCACAGAATGGCTTGCCCAGTCCCCAGAGCTATCCTGACCCACATCACACAGCAGTCCTATTCAGGTTATGTTTTCAGTGAGAGTCCTTCCCGAGCAATCATTTCCTAGGAGGACAGTGCAATGATGGAGGTAAAGTGTCCCCCCATGAACAGAAGGCTTCCAGGCCTCTGCAGGGGCAATTTTCAGCCTTGGAGGATACCTTTCAGAATGGGGAGAGGAGTAGTGTCTAAAAATTTTGCAGCTGGCATGTGCTGTCCAAGGAGAGAGGCTAGGACACAAAATACAGAATTTTAAGAGTAATTCTCTGTTCGTGCCCATGAGGTTTACCAGTCAAATTGAGGCACCCCAAATGTGGTTTTACAGAATCATATAATTGTTAGGGTTGGAAGTGAGCTCTGGAGATCTTCCAGTCCAACCCCCTGCCAAGGCAGGGCCACCCAGAGCAGGTCACACAGGAATGTGTCCGGGTGGGTTTGGAATGTCTCCAGAGGGAGATTCCACAGCCCCCCTGGGCAGCCTGTGCCAGGGCTCTGACACCCTCAGCAGAAAGTTCTTCCTCATGTTGAGGTGAAACTTCTTGTGTGTTAGTTTAGAGAGCCATCGCTCCTTGTCCTGTCACTGGGTAGCACTGAAAAGAGTCTGGCACCATCCTCTTGGCACCTGCCTTTCAGATATTTATATACTTTAATGACAATCCCTTCTCAGTCTCCTCTTCTCTAGACTAAACAGGCTGTGGTTCTTACACATGGTTCTTACCCCTTTCAAGCATTCAGTGGTTTTACCAATGGCTACTCAACACAGACATATACTGCTGTTTTGCAAAGCAGCTCTAATTGTGTGGCATCGTCATCCATCTGCTTTCTTCTTGACCGAGACATCCCTGCAATTGGTCTTGCTGCTGTACCTTATCTCTGATGCGAGGTGAGGGGAGAGTTTCACTGAGATGTCAGAGGGGCTGGGATGCTGCTCTGGTCTGGGTAGTGCAGAGCTATCTTTTCTTCTTTAGAGTGGGTGTTGTCCTTCTCCTCCTTGCAGTGAGCTGGGGTTCTTTAGTTGTGCTGACTGAAACACAGCTATGCAGTTTACAATGTCAGCTATATATATCTGAAGAAAGTTCATACAACTTCATACTCTAAGACCAATTGCTACAATAGTTAGGGAAATGACAGTCCCTCCTTTTCTTTTGACCATAGGGTCACACTGTACTATTCACTCTTCAAGGTGTAAATTGAGTTCATAAGGTAACGCAACACTGTGGACATACATCGTTACAAAGCAAAACAAGAGAGTGAATACAAAACTCAACTCCTTTTAGTTCACAGTCCTCTGGCTAAGTCTGGGAGCCGAGAAATTAGCCACCCACATAGATTTAGTGGGGATCCCTGCCTTACTTCATGTAATATTTTTATATGGGTCTTTATCTTGTTTCTGTCAGTTTCATTTTTCTGGTACTGATTTACATAAAACCCCCAGCAGCTATTAGTCAATAATGCACATACTCTGTCCTATAGTTCTAAAAGGGGGTCTAGAGCTAATTGATTCCTTATTACCATTTGTGATAATGATTTGGTTTCTTCCTGTAGGGCTCTAATGCTATTTGTGCTTTCAGAATGGCTTTTTCTAATTGCCTTGACATATTTGCAATAGCTCGCTCTAGTTTTGCAACCCCTAACTGTGGTATAAAACTGTTACAGAGAGGGGGAACCTAGAGCCACATTCTGCCAGAGGGCTGTAACACCTTTTCCTGTAGCTGTCAGTAGTTAGGAGTGACAGGGTCAGAAGAGTTACTGGTTCTAACCTGGAGCCTCTTCCAGCGCTAGTGGTTCATTCCTTACTTTTTAGTCCTCCTCTACAGAAGTCCTCCTCTACAGAGTTCAAGCAATTGTAGATATGCCACACTGGGGAAGTCCCTTGATTTATGGCAATAAACATAAATGGTCATTGGCTGCTTTGACTGAACTCTGTGATTCTCTAAGATACACTCAAACACCTCGTTATGTCTCCTCCCTTTGCTGGCTCTATGGCATGGGCAGCTAAGCACCACATGGCAAAGCTGCTGCATCCACCCCAGGATATTTCGCCCTGGCTGGATGCTGACAAGAGAGACACCAGGGAGTGACAGCCGGGGGGTTGACAGGAGGGCCACTGTGGTGTCAGGCTGGGGATGATGGGAGGGTCACTGTGTGGTGTCAGGCTGGGGTGACAGCAGGGACACGAGCAGCTCAGGGTGGTGACATGCACAGGTCTGACGGGTCCCCCTCCCCTTGGGGGTGCTTGGACCTGCACGTGACATGGGCCTTTTGTCATAGTGCGCTGGGTCACATGGGTGCACTGTGCTGTCACACCAGGATGTCTCCTGGTGAAGACTGGGGCAGAGGTGCCTGAGTTGCCATAGAGGTTGGTCAGGCCTCGGAGTGCTGCATCCAGGAGAGAACACTGAGGCCAAGCCAGGGCTGCAGAGAACTCTCCTCCTCTGGGCTGTGAGGAGGATTTGGGGCAGGTGCCGCTATCACGGCACAGCTCAGTTCCTGCAGGCCACAGCCTGGAATTGTTAAGGTGGCAAAGCCAGGGCCTCCCTACTCCACAGTGGAGGCCTGAGGCTCTGTCAGCTGAGGCTGCCTGACGTCTCAGGGAGCTGCAGCCTCTCAACGCCGTCAACCAGCACAAGCTCAGCTCAGTGGGCTCTGCCACGTGCTCTCGCCTTCGTGGAGGCTGCAAGGCCTCTATCATCTGTTGAGCTAGACACAGTTGTGGAGCAGGCACCACCTGTCCCCGACCATGTCCTGCATCCACTACAAGTTCTTCTCCAGGCTGAACTATGATACGGTCACCTTCAGTGGCCTTCACATCTCCCTTTACGACCTCAAGTGCCGGATCATGTGGCGTGAGAAGCTGAAGGCAGCCAACTGTGATCTGCAGATCACCAATGCCCAGACCAAAGAAGGTACGTGTGTGCAGCCTGTGCAGGGCTTTGGGCATCTCCTGGCTGGCGACGTTGCAGACCCCACCCCATGATGGCCACAGCCAGTGGAAGGCCCCCCCCCAGGAGGCCCCCAGCCAGTGGAAGCCACGCTCTGCTTTTTGTGGCTGATCTCCACGTAGCGTGAGTGAACCTGGGGCCCATCCCGACAGCAGGCGTGAGCACCAGGAGGGTAAGCAGAGCCAGGGATTAAGTAGGGTGGTGTCATGAAATCTGATATAGCATCCTGCTGGCTACACCAATTTGTCAAATGCTCACACTGAGTCACAAGTCTCAGGCTTCGTCAATGGTTTATGTCTAATGGAATGTAGAAAAGGAAAATCAAAGTAGAATCAAGCAAAATGATTTGTATAGAAACCAAAGATGAAAAAAGGGAGACCTTCCCACTAAGACACAAAGTTCAGAGTGGACTCCCTGGCTTTCTAAACTCCCGGTGGAGCCTAGGTGCGGCTGGATCTAGTCTTAGTGTCAGACTTGATCAAGCAAATGTAAAGCGCTGAGCAGATGAGAAGTATGGCTGTTGATGGATTAAGCTCCAAGAAATAGAAAAAGGTGGCGGGCTCTCTTCTGCATTCTGTCACTCTGGAGCACAGCAGCAGAGATGACTCATTTTAGTTAGCAGTGGCAAAAGCAGTGGATCTGAGTTTTCATGCTTTCACTAGTGCCTGGCTTGTTGCAGGGCAAGCTAGTCAGACTTTAGAACCCGATTTATGCAGGTGAGACTTTTTGGTGGTTTGTTTTTCTCCAGAGATCTATTAGTTTTGTAGCCTAATGGAAGCAAAAGCAACTTCAGTTAGATCAGGAAAGCACCCCCTGCATTAGCAGGCTCTCCTGCTAATAGGTCTCCTCTGAGACCATTTTGCTGTTGGCATTCAAACTGTTTTTAAAAAAGGAAAAAGATTTGGTTGCTGGTGTTTGGTTATCAAACCTGAAGATGTCTTGAAAGGTACTGTTAGCGTGTTCAGGCAAGGAAAGCATGATGTTACATATAAAATTTGGCTTCTGTATCTGTAAAGGCCTTCTCTGAAGTGCTGTGTAATTAATTGTGTATTAATACATATCCTTTTGAATGTCTTCTCTGTATTTCTTTTGGTTTCAGAGTACACAGAAGATGCCCTGATTCCTAAGAACTCATCAGTAATTGTTAAAAGAATCCCTGCTGGAGGAGTTAAAGCTACCAGGAAAACAGATGTTACGTAAGTGTCCGTGCAGCATTGCATTCTTTGCTGCGGGTTTCACTATGTGAACTGCTTCAATGCATATGAGGCATTCAGATTGTATATTTCCTGTTAAAGCTTCTGTTCATTTCTGTTGTCGCTGGGTAGATTTTCATGTATTGCTCCCAAAGCAGACTTGTATTTTTAGGCCTGCTGGGATACGGGGTTCAAACTCCAACAATGGAAACTTTTAAAATGGTTCTATAGGGTTTGTTCTTGGGGTTAATTTTTCTGAAAGCCAAGTTATAGATCCTGTTTTGTCTGCTTGGAGAGATTCCTTATTATATGTATTTGCTTTTATGGCTTTTATAGTGAAGACAGTTATGCACTGTAGTGTAAACTTATAATTTGTTCCTTTCTCAGAAGAGTCTGATTCTTAGTGTTTGACTTTTTCTTGCATTTGAGGGAGGGAGGCAGGGTATGTCAGGTATTCTTATGCCCCAAATGTGGGGGGGGTTGCATACTAGCTATGCAGGAAAGACCAACAGTTGCCAGCTGGCAAACCATGCAAACAAAAAGTTCCATTCCAAAGTGATTCCCAAAGTTTCCCAAAGCCAGTGTCTGTTTGGAGCAAGCGAAAAAGAACAGTATCATAAAATGTATCCTCTTGTGCAAGTACAATGAAGGAATAGTTAACCCTTTCCAAACCTGAAACTCAGTAAGCGATTTGGCACGTTTACCAGAAGTTGCTAGCTATCTTCCTAAGGCTGTTTTTACCTTAAGCTGATAGCCGTGTGGATGGCACCCTTTCCTTGTATTGTACTGCTGCCATAAAATGAGAGGATAGGGGCTGCTAGCATCAAAGATCAAATGCATACCTGTATGTGGGGATAGGAAAGAATGGCACTGCTCTTCTAGCATTGAAAATTTACCAGGCAGATCAGCTTTCTATTCCTTCAGCTTCAGAAACAGTGTGGAGACAGCTGGTAGAGTGCTTAATGTTTGGGCAGGTTGAATGTGTGCTTGAATGGTGGAGAGGCTTTAAAAAATGTATTACTTGCCTTGTAGTCTGTTCTTCAAGGTACATGAATGAAACAACCATTCTGTTGTAATCTAAAGTATGTCATACTTACTTATCTTCAGGAGGTATGTGGATGTAAGCAGGAGTCTTACTGTTTGTAAGTTTGAATTGCCTCTGTTCCTGGGACACTTTGGATGATGTGTGAATTGTTTGTTAACTGTATCAGTGGTTGCATCTCTGACTCTTGATAGATGCAGGTCAGTGAGTATGTGGAATCTCAGCAAGTTTTCAAATGGAGTAAGTATTTCTTAAAATACTGCAGCATAAAGCAAATTCTGGCAATTAAGACTTTTTTTTTTTTTTTGTCACAGGGCTCCTCAGTCACACAAAATCTCAGGAGCAGCTTCTTTCAGGTGACATTTCTACTACTATTTTTAGTCAATATAGCGTAGGTAACATGTTCAGTACTTTGGCACTTTCATGGCTAAGTATGGTAGATACCTGAAAGCAGTGCTTGGGCTTCCCCAGAGTAACACTGTTCTGAAGACTAAGCTGCTGACAGTTTTGTTATTTCTTTGTCAGATGACTGATTTTCTTTTACTGAAGTAAATTTGCACTTTGAAGTGTTGGGACTATCGCTGTTCTGACATAGAAACTAAAGTACTGTATCTGGCACCTATTTGTAATACTAGGGAAGTACAGATTGCCTGAAGTTACGTTCATAGTTTGAGGGTTGATTATTTAAGAACACAAAACTGTAGTACAGAGTTGATATATTTGATACTTTTGTGGCAGAGAAAATAGCCAAGGACTTTCTCTTGCACTATGGAGTTCTGTATGTGTAAGTCTGACTTTATGACAAAGTAGAAATCGGACTTTGGAGGTTTTTTTAGTTGCACTGAATAACCAAGAGATACAAATAAATTTCCATATTCACTAGACTATCAGAACATAATGTTTTGATGTTCAGGTTTTATAACTGGTTTTTGCTGCTTTCTTTTGGGTACAAGTGCTTTATTTTAAGTTCTGATCACCTTTATGTCTCCTCCTAGAAGTCGAACTGAGCCAGTGAGCAGAACATCAGAAGCAGTATGTAAAAACCCAGTCTCACCCTTTTTTCTACACATTGCACTGAATTTTAAACAATGTAGCCTTGTATTAATTTTGCAAACATTAACTTCATCTATTTTCCAGTAAAACATAGTATAGGTTGTAATTCAAATGTACTGATTCATCATAGTGAAAACTGAGTCATGCCATCATTTGCACAGTTCTGATGTGAATGCTGGGATTTGTGCCTACTAAATGCATGGTATTTCCTATTGCATATGCTAAGAATATTTCCTGTGTGGCTTTGTGTTGTGCAGATACTGTCTGATAGTCTTTAGGTCATGCAGGTTCCAGGTGTGCACAATTGAACTCAGTGCCACGTTCGAGATGTGTCTGCCTATAGTTAGTAATATGTGTGTTTGTGCAGCTTGTTCTGTGCTTTTTGGAAAAACTGCACTTCAGTAGTAGCTCTTTGCAAACACTGTGGCACATTCCTAACTAGTGGCCTGAGGACTTCATTGTGGCAAGCTGCTCCCATAGGCAGCTGGGAGGGAGGAGAATGTTGGCAGTGGAGAAAAATATGCCATGACTGTGCTTTGAATCCATACATGCCAAATCCATACAAAGATTGGATTTGGTCTGATAGAAAGAAGAATAATATAAATTCTCACACTTCCCAGACTAATTTGGATAGTATGGCGTGTGGTCTAATAAGATACAAGAAATAAGTTTTCTCCATTTTTATAGGCTACTCTGTCATAGTGAACACCTTTACACCCCCCACCCCCCACCAATAATTTGAGCAGTTTCTTTTTTTCTAGACAAATTGGCAGGTTACTTTTATGGCTGGTGTTTCAGATTTGTGTTTTTATTTGGGTTTGGTGGGTTATGGTGAGTTTGGCATCTTTGCAGTTATTGAGAAGAGGGTCAGAGTTCATGTTTCAGGGCTGCTCTTTATCTTGATAAGCAGCTACTATGTTCATCAAAGCATAACTGTATAAATGCATGTTTAAATGATGAGACATTAACTGATTAATTTACAAACTACACTACAAGTAAGTTCCCTGTAGTGATGCTTCCTTCTCAAATAAACTTCAGCATTTTTCACAAGGGTCCCTCTCTGAGATATTCTGGAGCAGTAAGTCCATCTCAGGCGAGTTGGTTATTTTAGTTTCTTCTCATTAACCACATAGGCACTTTTCATCTGTCATAGGTTTGGACTTTGTTCTGAACAAATACAAATTACATTAGGTTGGAAATGCCTCTTTCAGTGACACGCAGAGGATATAGTGGAGACTTTCAGACTACAGTAGAGGTTAACTATTGCTATGTTTTGATTGTAGAACTTGAATATGTGTTTATCTTTTGCTGAACAGATGGGTGGTGAGTCTTCTGCATCTGTTTCTCTGGCCAAGCTTTTAAAGGTGTGTATGTATATATTGTTGTGAAATACTTAAAAAGAAGTGTTTCCTTCATATTTTTAAGCCTTACGCTGCAGTCTATAAATGGATAACTGTTGTAATGTGAACAAAACTTTAATTTTTAATAAAGTATTAATTTTAACTTTAAAAAGTATGTATAATTTGATACTATCCTGTAAAGAGTACTTGCCAATTTGGGAAGACAGAAGGGGAGTACCTTCTCAGCCTCAACATAATGTTGCAGCATTACTCATCTTCAGGACATAAAGCGGCAGTACTTCAGAAGCTGTTTACTGTTCTTCCTATGCTTCATTAATTTTGTGTTGGAATCTAACACCATTTTTACGTAACAGTTTAATTGGCTGTAAGTTATGGACATTTCAGGGCAGTTTGCAACAGCTGAAGTAGAAGTGTTTCTGCAACGTGGACAACGGCATGGCTGGTTTTGATTTTCTGCTCATTAGACCCATGGAAGCATTTTTTGAATCCTGCAGTTTCATAAATTCCAGTCTATAGACAGTGGAGAACACAATCAAATTTGTTTGAATGCGGACTGTGTCAACTGTGTAAAGTGTGTACCTGATTGTTTAGAGGAACAAACTGATCTTTTTCTCACAGGTGTACTAGCAGATGTGACCACCTGAAAATGTTGTAATGGCCTGTTGTGGGATGGAACTTTTTGCTTTTTTGGCTCAACACTGTGTAACTTTGGGAAAGCACTAGTGACTGCACTTTTTGAAAATGCATAGTGCTAGCCAATTAAATTACAACTAAATTAAATTAAAAAGATGGGAGCTAGTTCTTTCTTCTAAGAAGAGAGTCAGGAGTTCATTTCCAAGAACAAGGAATCTTCACACTGGCAGCATCTTCCCTGTCTCACTGAAGAAATTAAATTATGTACCTTTGGCTGTCCCTACATGTGTCCTTGGTTCTGTAAACCCATGTGAAGTTTTACTCTCAAATGTGGAAAACTGCCCAAGTGATGTGCACATTTAATCTTTTGAGAAACACAGGAAAAAAACATAAAGCAGCTCAAAAATGTACTTACTCTAAACACATTAGTCAGACTGGCTTAGCACAGGGGCAGTGTGTTGTAAAGTATTTTCTGTTTTATTATTACAGTGCATTAAATGTCATATTTGAATTTTGGTCTATTCCTAGTAATGTTTTGTGGGGTTTGGATATGTTTTGTAAACTGTTTGGGTTCAAACAAATTAGTCAAGTGTCTGCAAAGTTTCCTGTAAATGTTAATAGAAATGATTTCATAGATGTCAATCTGGATCATATAACTGATGAGAAAAAACTGTGTATGTGAAACAAGCATTTAATAAAATGTGAAAACTGGTTGATAGCTCTTGTGAATGAATGCATGTAGAAACAAAGACATGTGTGGTTGATCTGAAAGGTGAGTAGTTGAAGGTCCAAATCATTTACAGTCACTCTCTTAGAACTTTCTTGTATGTGGACTAGTGTGTAATAAAAACCTAAGAAAAATCAGCTGGCCTCAAGATCTAGTTCTGCACATGGGTAATATTTCAATATGTACATTAAAAGGACACAGTCACCTGGAAAAGCCTGCAGGTTGTGCTCACTGTAGTTAAATCCCTTAGTAGGAAGAAGTTAGTAGCGGGGGGAAATGCAGTTTGGACTACTTACAGGACACAGTGGTCACATTTCTACTGAAAAGAACCTTGTGTCTTGCAGAGGGATCAGAAAGATTCCTTTCAATGCTTCTGTGTCTGATGCTGAATTTCAGCAAGCAGAAACTACAGCCCTGACACATTGTGTGGTTTTTTTAAATGCTGCAAAATGTAAATAATATAACTTGCAGAAATCTTTCTCAGTTAAATGCACAGTAGCTATCTTCTCCTTCAAAACCAGTTGAAAAATACTGCTGGTGTCATTTGTGCTACTCATCACTTCAGTCCACTCGGAAGAAAAGTGAATTGCTTACACAGGTCTAAGTCAGGTACAAACAGCCTCAGGTTTTGAGTGCCCCAGAATGCTCTTTTCAAGTAGGCAAGCAGGCACATTAGCGTCTTGTACAAGCACAAGGTCTCCCCAGAGCACTCTCAGGACAACCGTTTTCAGGTAACATCAGCTAGCATTGTGCTGCTCTTTACAGGATTGAGCAAGTGGTGTCTTTGGCTGGGTGAGTTTGCACATGTTTCTAACATGTGTGTCAAATAATTCTGTGTTAAACAGACTTCCAACCTGGCTGAAGCCAATGCTTCTGAAGAAGACAAAATAAAAGCCATGATGATACAGTCTTGCCATGAATATGATCCAGTCAAGTAAGTGTTGATAATGTCAAATCACTTCTTTGATGATTATGGAAAAATTGTGTAGATGTTTGTTTTAACAAGAGAGACACATGCATACCCTTTTCTTCCCAAAACCTTTTTAGTTACATGAAGAAGCCCTTGGGTACACCTCCACCATCATATATTTGCTTTCGCTGCGGAAAACCTGGCCACTATAGAAAGAACTGCCCAAGAAATGCGGTAAGATTTTGGGGATTCTGGTGTTACTTTCTGACCTTGTTTGATTTCTGACCTTGGCAGTCAGGTAACAAATACAGGAATACTCGTATTAAGAACTGTTTCTCTTGAGGTGAAATACAGAGGTTACATGGCAATGTTGTAAAGCCCTTCAAAGTTCAAGGGAAAGCCGGGATTATAAATGTAATTTTTTCTTTTTTTCTAAGCCACAGACATGAAATAAGTCCATAGATCTTTTCATCTGTGAACTTACATGCATATTTTTATGTATTTCAGTATCACTGGAAATGTTTCTGTTTTAACTCTTTTTAATGACAGTTCACAGTTTTTAGTATTTTGTGTGAAACTAAGATGTTTCTGATGACCTCATCTATTGAATATTTGTGTGTTTTACTGATACAAGTCTCTGGTTGAGTATTCATGCTCTTTAACATTAGTCACTGAATGTATATGCATGAGGTATGAATTCAGCCTTCATCTACAGCTGGTGAATAGGTGTTTCTCCAGTGGCTGATCCAGAGCCCTGACTTAAGCTCTCCCTCTGAATTGTGCTTTGGAGGAGGAGAAGGTTTGTATTTCTTCTCCCAGTAGATCATGATGTAAGGGATATTTCGCCCTTAAGGGACCTATTGTTAAGCTGAAGAACGTTGACTCAGATCAAAACTCTGCTTAAGCCTTTCATAGAATCATAGTATCAACCAGGTTGGAAAAGATCATCAAGCCCAACTGATACTTCAGGACTGCCAAGCCCACCACTAAACCATGTCACTGAGGGCCTCATCTACATGTCTTTTTGAACACTTCAGGGACAGTGATTCTACTACTTGCCTGAGAAGCCTGTTCCAATAGCTGACTTTGGAACATCCTAGCCATGTTCATTTAGGAAAATAAGTATTTCGGTTGAGCAAACCTTATGCTAGGTACAAGGAAAGGATTTAAAGGCTTTTGCTGCTTTCAGTCGTCACTGAACTGTCATTTTATGTGTGGGTCTTAAGATGAGGTATGTCTGCATTTCTTTTCTTAACAGGACAAAAACGTTGAGTCTATTCCCAGACTTAAAAGGAGCACAGGAATTCCAAGGAGTTTCATGATAGAGGTGGAAGATCCCAACACAAAGGGTGCAATGCTGACAAACACTGGAAAATATGCAATACCGATTATTAATGCGTAAGTATGGAATTAACTGGACTGACCAAAAAGTGAATGAGAGAAAGCATGCATAAACATCTGAGTGGACATGCAACCAAGTTGGACAGCATCTGTAATTATGGGAGAGGAAGCACAGTTACTGCATATTAACCTTAAAAATTTGTGGTACTTGCTCATATGAAAAGAGAGTGGTCATAGTTGTCATGCCCCTGGAAGTTGGTTCAAGTTGTGGTACACTAAGGATCTGTATTTCTGCAAAACATTTCAGTAGTGTTTACTGGAGAGCCATTGTCTTTGAGAGCTCATTTTGCTTCTGGTTTATGTTTCAAATGCTTCTTGCAAAATAACCAGTAGCTGTTGGATTGAGATTTCCTCCCACTACGAGTTTTGTTTTTTAGTGTTATGGCTATAGAAAAGTAGTTTCAACTCAATGCCTACTGTTTAGGAGGCTAATTTGGAGTGAGAAGAATTCTATTATCTTCCTTTGATAAAATCCAAAGCTTGGAAAAGTATTCCTTTACCCACCTTTAAATTTGTTCTTTTTCCCTCCCCACACCCATCCAGGGAAGCTTATGCTAGAGGAAAGAGGGAAAGGCCTTCACCTCTACCAGAGGAGCCATCCTCCTCCTCTTCTGATGGTCCTATTCCAGATGAGCTGTTATGTCTCATTTGTAAAGATATAATGACTGATGCAACTATTCTTCCCTGCTGTGGAAGCAGTTATTGTGATGAATGTAAGTGTTATTCCAATGCTGTTGATTCAAAACATCACATCCAGTCTTCTGAAAGCAAAAATAGGAGATAACAAAATAGGAGATGTTCTAGTTAATACCTAAGTATACCCTGACCAGGAAAGGACTCATCTCGTATAAAGTAAAAAAAAAAAAAAAAAAGGCAGGAAACTTGTTTTCCTTTCTACATATCTAATTACATCCTCCTTACATGCAGAGGAGTGCCTAACTCTGCAGGTGATTACAGTATTAGATACCAAATGCATTTAGTTTGTTCACAGCTCTTTCTCTTATACAAAATTATACAGTTACCTCTGGTGACTGACTGGTCTGCAACCTGTGGTCTGCAACAGATAGTTAGGCATTTAATCCACATTCTTCTCCACAGGAGAGTTGGTTCAAACCTTCAGAACTCAGACCTACTAATGGTTTTTGAGATGTGCTTTGTTCATTAACCTTGGGGTTGACGACTTCTTGCTGTAGTGAATAGTGGAGAAAGGACAAGGTGAAATACCAAGACGCAGCCTACACTCCATCTTCAAATATTACAGTACTGAAATGTCAAAACTGTATAACTATTTGCTGCATTCTAGAAATTTTTTACACTCTTTAACTTTTATAGCTTCATGCTGTACACTCAAGACCATATTCACGCATTAATCATATACATGTTTTGACTAGAACCCAACAACTTTCCTTAGTTTGGCTAAAAACTATTGTATTGTGATTATACTAATTATGCACAGGTATTAGAACAGCATTACTGGACTCTGAGGAACATACATGCCCAACGTGTCATCAGACAGATGTTTCTCTTGATGCTTTAACTGCCAACCAGAGCCTACGCCAGGTAATGTGATGACTTTTATGTAAATTGTTTGTACGAATAGCCTGTAAGGAGCTGAGAGAGAAGAAAATATTACTGTACATCTCCTTAAGCAAGGCTAAATTGAATAAGGCTAAATTTACTTTTCAAACACATTATCTCTGACAGCTTTTTAGAGACAATCTGGCAAATTCAGGTCACACTTTTGTTTAACACAATTGCCTCACTTTCAAATTTGGTGTTAACACTGAAGTATTTTAAATACAGATACCCTGAGTTACCAGTCATTAACGTCAGTGTTTAATGTGATGTGTTCATATAGCTGTGGTTGAATGCTGTTAGGATTGATAGCATTTGCAGGAATACACAAGTAATTTTACTCTGCGGAGGCTTTTGTTGGTGTATCTGCTGAAGTTTCAGATTACTTTTATAAAACGTTCCTCTGCCTCTAGGCTGTGAACAACTTCAGAAATGGAGCTGGCTACACAAAAAGGCTCTGTAGGCAGATTCAGCAGCAGCAGCCGCCACCATGTCCACCACCACTCAGGACTGTTATCCCTCCTGCTGCTACGGTGACTGCCACTGAACTGCCTCAATCTTCCTCTCTGTCAATCAGCAGTTTGTTGGAAGAGAAGGTAAGTTTTATTTCCATATGCAGTGACTGCAGTATTTCAGTAGAGCTTATTTTTCCAGCTGTTTGCATTTATTCACAAGGGCAGTCAAGTTCCTGTACAAAGACAACTAGCACTACCAAGTCTTCTGGGCTCCCAAGGACAATCAATGCTCACAACTGGTAAGTAATGATAACTTCAGAATTTCTGTTAAAAAATTACCTTCAGATAAGGTCAATGGGCTTTTTTTCCTTTTCTTGTCTCCTCTCCAGAAGGACCTCTGAGGAGAGGCAGTACCATCCACTCAGCAGGTGCCAGACCAGGCCGGGAACAGTAAGTATGCTATAGAACTTCAATATATCAGTACTTGTAACCTAGGCTGTAACATGTGACTTACACAACAGCGATTGATAATCAAATAAGTATGCACCAAGAATTGTGGGGAATACAATTGGTAACTGATTTTTAGATGGCTTAATTTGAATTGGCTTTAACAAAGGGGATCTGTGCTTGCAGCAAGATTATTTGAAATAGAATATGATTAGAAAGTACATGATTAAAAAGAAAACTGAAAAAAGAATGCTTTTTGAGGAAACCATAAGTACATATAAAAATTAAATATAATTAATCAGATGGGCAGCCATCCTTTGGATTACTGGCTGAGTACGGCTGAAGAAACAGATTTCTCAGTAGAAATCAGCATCCATTCTTGCAGGGAAGGGATACCATCCAGAAGGACCTTGACACACTTGTTGGCCAATGCCAGCCTCATGAAGTTCAACAATGCGAAGTGCAAGGTCCTACGCCTGGGTCAGGGCAATCCCAGGCACAGCTACAGGTTGGGCAGAGAAGCTATTCAGAGCAGCCTAAGGAGAAGGACTTGGAGGTGTTGGTTGATAAGAAACTGAACATGAGCTGCTTCGGTGTGTGCTTGAGCCCAGAAACGATATGTGTGCTGGGCTGCATCAAAAGGAGCATGACCAGCAGGTGGAAGGAGGTGATCCTGCCCCTCTGCTCTCATGAGGCCCCACTTGGAGCCCAGTGTGCAGTTCTGGTGTCCTCAACATGAGACATGGAGCTCTTGGAGCAAGTCCAGAGGAGGCCGCGAGGATGATAAGGGGCTGGAGCACCTTCTGTATGAAGACAGGCTGAGAACATTGGTGCTTTTCAGCCTGGAGAAGAGAAGGCTGCATGGTGACTTCATAGCAGCCTTCCAGTGTCTGAAGGGGGCCTACAAGGATGCTGGAGAGGGACTCTTCATCAGGGACTGTAGTGATAGGACAAGGGGTGATAGGTTCCAACTGGAACAGGGGAAGTTCAGGTTAGATATAAGGAAGAAGTTCTTCCCTGTGAGGGTGGTGAGGCACTGGCACAGGGTACCCAGAGAAGTGGTAAATGCTCCATCCCTGGCAGTGTTCAAGGCCAGGTTGGACAGAGTCTTGGGTGACATGGTCTAGAGTGAGGTGTCCCTGCTTATGGCAGGGGGGGTTGAAACTAGATGATCTTGAGGTCCTTTCCAACCCTAACTATTCTATGATTCTGTGTTTGGTTACCATGGTGTATCCTGCTTTCCAGTTTCCATTTTTCATAAAGTTGCTCCCATCCACAAGCAGTTCCTAGTCCACATCCTTCAGGGATGTATCTTGCAGGTCAGTATGACTGGAATACACCTGCTCAATAGTCTGTAAACAGTTGTGAGTCAGCTCTTCTGCTTCTGGATTGTTTGTCATGAGCACTGCTGGGTTCAAAAGGTTAGTTACTTTCAATTCTACATCCTCTTGTTCTAAAAGCACAGCCTGATATTTTAACAGCCTACTTGGGGCAAGCCAATGACTGCTTTTCTGTTCCAGGATGGTTGTTAGCATGTGAGGTACAAATACAGTCCATTTTTGTCCCAAAGTATTCAATAAATTTTTCTATTAGAGGCTCTAGTCCTTTTCTTGCTTCCAGGTTTCTAGGATATTGTTTCTGTCTTACGGGTCTGACATTTGGTTTCAGGTGAATAGTTACTGGTTCTGCATTTTGTGATCGTCCCAGTGCTCCAGCAGCCCATACTAATGGGGTGACTGCGTTCCTCACTTCCTCTGGTACATCCAGCTCAACGGCTGGTTTCTGTAACATAAAAACTTGAGCCTCCACAGCCTTTTCATCAGGAACATGTATCTGAATTTTTCTTTCTTTAAACGTAATTTATGCATGTAATTTACTCAGTATATCTCTATCCAATAACAGCACAGGGCAACTGGTGGGTCAACATCTGTTTGCCAATTTTAAACATTGAAGGAAAGGCCAGGTTCCTGTCTACCCTATTGCACCAATGACTGAAGCTGTTTGCTTTGCTTGCTTAATTGCCCTTACAAGTATTTATAACAGAATAAGTAGCTTCTGTTTCTACAAGAAATTTTATCTTATCATTCCCCAACCTAACTGTAACCAGGGGCTCTGTGGGGGTGGGGGGTTGAATCTTCCCCATCTCCTCCTCAGTTTTCATCTAAAGTCATTGATTTCTCTGCCTGTGCTGACATTCCATCCACTAAATCTCCGGTGTTTATTTTGGCTCTGAGGGCATTCTCTCTTCCAGTGCTCCCTCTGTTTACAAATTGTACACTGATAATTCTCTGAGTGCCACTCATGGAGTCTGCTCACAAACCTTTCCATGTAATCCTTCTTTCCGACCCTTTCCTCCTGGGCCGCTCCCCCTTTTCCTCCTTTCTTGTGTGAGAGCAACAGCCAACAATTTTTTTTTCCTCCCTATTATTTCCTTCTCCCTTTCAACTTCTCTGTTATTGTACACTCTCCAGGCTGTTTCGAGCGGTTTATTGAGTGATCAAGAATCTGTCACTCCCAGTTTCTGCTTGCATTTAATATCTGGGTTTGATTGACCAGTAAAAATATAAGATAATTGTGCTGCACCTTTTTCAAGGCCCTTGTCAGTATACTTATGTTTCATTCCAAACAAAACCAACCGCTGATACTTGGTTAATAGATCCTGCTTAGGCAGAACATTTGGATCCCATTTAGGGTCTGTGGAGGGAAAGTGGTCATCCAGTGACACCGCCCTGTGCCCCCTGAATAGGGATCTTTTCTGCCTCCTCCCTTGCTTTTGCCAGCACTATACTTTATAATCGTACGTTACCAAAGTATCCAATTCTACTTGTAAATCATTCCAGTCTGGATCTTGTGTTCTAATAATCGTCTCCATGACTTTAGATACTTTTTCAGGATCTTCCCTATAAGGTCCAGCTAACTCTTTCCAGGCTCGTAAATCTGACACAGAAAATGGCACCTTGATAGTCACCAGTCCCTCCACCCCTACTCCCTAATGTAAGAGAGGTTGTATACCTCAGAGAGCACCTTTCGTTGTTCACCTCACGATGGGGCTAGAGCTATCTTCCCATCTGCATCCAAATCTGCACCCCCCCCTCCCCCAATTCCACTTGTTCCTTGTTTTAATTTGTGGTCCAGCTAATAATTCCACATCCTCTTTTTCCTACCTACATCTAATGCATCACTTACCAATACTACACGCAGAACATCAACTCCTGAGCGGTTTCTTATTCTTTTCCAGTGCTAATACCTTGGGATCTTTAGATATATGCAGACACCCCTTTCACAAGTCTGAATTATTCTGCAAATCAAAGAATAAATCAACATACTGTAACTCATCCCACTTTGCCTCCATTTGGCAATCAGTCAATTATAATTAATTGACCGTTCTCAGGCCACTTTGCCGCAGACTCCATCTTATACAATGGCCACCATTGATTACCATACTTACCAAGGTCTTCTGAGTGACTGAGCCACCTGGGGTTCCACCAGTTTGTTTCCAATGTTGCAAAATGCAACCCTATGGGGATTTCTTCAAAATCCTCCCTTTGGAGGCAGTGGTCCTGACCTCCATCCAAATACAATGTCCAGGCAACCAAACAAATCCTTACCCACTGAACCGGGCATCCCCTGTGACGAATGTGGATAAGTTACCAAAAAGAATGCCTTTTTAAAGAAATAAAAGCAGGGTCTTACCAAGGTCCCAAGTCAGTCTGGGGAGCTGTGGTTCCTTTCAGGAAAATCCCCGATGCTGGCATGAAGGTCCCAGAGACTCCCCGGATCCATGGGAAACACCGCAGAGGGTCCATGTTCGGGCACCAAATTGTTGCCACAGAAGTCGGTTGTAGAAACTCTCTCAGATTCGATGTGGAGTTTCAGAAAGCAGCATTCTTTATTGCAGTGCTAGGCACACACGTGAATAGTTTCACAGAGGTGAGCACGCCAATCCCTTGCTGGCAGCAGCTGTATATTTAGCATACTCATGCATATTCAGAGTTTTCCCTGGAAGTTATTTACATATTCATGAGATTACTAGAAACTTTTTATAATATCTGCATTCGAATTTTGTATGCGCTTTCTTGCTGAGTGGGGCTCTGTTGGTCGCCGATAGTCTTCCTCACTGTTTACTGAGTGACCTTTGTGCTTGTGCACCCTCGCGAGGTCCTAGTGCTGAGTTAACAGTGGTATGTGCTTGCTTTTGTTCTGTGCTTGCTTTTGTTCTGTTCCAGTCACTGCTACTCTGTAGGTCTGCATCCTTGGTCTTACTTACTGCCTCCTTAGTTGTTAGCAGTCCCTTGATGTTCCTTCTCCTGTCAGCCAAACATTCCTTATTCCATATGTGTCAGTAAGTTAGAACTGTTTGCTCTTTAAAGTCATACACATTATTGTTAGTTTAAACCTATAATTTAAACCTACCTAATGGCTTGAGTAAAACTAGTTCTTCAATTTGCAGTAGCATTGTGTTAGCAGCTAAAAGAGGAAAAAAACCCAAACCAAGTTTGGAAGTAAAAAGGTTAGGGAGAATGACTGTTTTGAATTAACTTCTATTTTTGTATCTGTGTGTTGTGGGGTTTTTTTAAGGTCCAAGTCTCACTGTAGTACTTCGTTTTACTTTAGGAGTTTGTGTACGTATTCCAAGTCAAGATCAGGTTCTTCCTGCACTGGCTCCTGCTCCAGATCATGCAGTTGTTCCCATT